TACTTTCAAATTGTAGACAAGAAGTATGAGGAACTTCAGAGATATCATGGTCGAAAACACTGGCAAAAAAGCGCCCTAAAGCATTAGCCTTCTCTAAATCATTTCTAAACGTATTACCAGAATCATCTATAAGAGTAGGCAATGTTGTTATTCCTTTAGATTTGTATTTGAAGTAACGAAGCAATTTATTGTTACCACGTTTGGCAAGATGAAGTTCATGGTTTGACAAGAACTTCTTGAGATGACGATTCAGGTCAACACATACTTTTTTATAGAGAGGATTTCTCAATGGATCAGATACAAGAGAGAAAAGACGTGACTTTTGTTCAATCAGATTGACAATGTGTTGTGGATATCTACAGGGGGCTTTATGGTAACAGAAAGGTACATATTTCGCGAAAATGTTGTATAGTTGAAGACAAAATCGGTAGTAGAGGTCATCGACAGATAACCATTTATCAAAAACGTTCAACCAGTCGATGCGTGAAAGAGTATGCCGTAAATCGTATGCCGCACGATTCTTTCAGACAATACGCAGCACGGTATAGGGTCCTTTGGATGCGAGGTCCATTGATGTGTTCGGGCTGATCGATGGAAGCTAGGACCGCCCCGCGGCTTATACACCTGAAAATAGGGTAAAACAAAAGAAACAAGGAAACAAGGAGAAATCACTGGAAATGAGCAGGTTCTAGTTTCGCAGTTCGTCAGTCAACGTGTAAAGTGTGCACTACGCATATTAAATTACGAATGACTTGACGATACGTGGGCGGATTAGGTAAATTCTCCAGCTTACACGTGCAGATTCATGGTGTTTTGGAAGGTGGGAAGGGCGAAGAAATAAAGAAAGGCCAGTAAAAACATGCAACTTTTCCAGCTTTTTCTTCATAATTCAAACATCGTCTCTATCATTATTCGTGTGCCTCGCTTGCTTTGGAATGCTCAGAAATGTTTAGAAACTCTAATGGATTATAAGAAAGGCGGAGTAATTAGCGCTGTCCGGGCAGAGTAATTAGCGCTAGGACGAAGCGGTGCAGAAGGGCATACACCCCCGCTTGATGCACATGGTGTGTCAGGCAATAACTACCGTGTGGGACCGCTTGACACACGATGTGTGTCAAGGCTTGAATTTTGTTGGAAATGACAACTATTTTGAAATAACTCACTTCAAGAGCTTCCTTTTGCACTGAATTTAAAGATGACGTCTACCTTTTTGTCAACCTTTTTTGATTTACTGTAGGTGTACTGTAGATGGCAACAGGAGTACCAGCTGAGTCCGGTACTGCGCTTGAAAAGTCAAAAAAGTGCTTTTTGGCGTTTCCGGGCCTTGGAGATTGCTGGGGAGGCGGGGCGAGGGATTCACTCCAAAATGAGAACCGGCTGCAGGAGACTGTAACTCCACCTATATTGGCGGCAGACTGTATTGCGATAGCTGCCTAAGCTGATCAGCCAATTGCCGCCAAAATAGGTTGAGTTATAGTCTCCAGCAGCCAGTTGCTCCTTTTGGGGTGAATCCCCGCCCCTTCAGCAATCTTTAAGGCCCGGAAACGCCAAAAAAGCACTTTTTGACCTTTCAAGCGCAGTACCAGACTCATCTGGCCCAGATCATGTAGTCATGAAAAGCGCTAAGGTATCGCATTCGCGAATCCATTCATTCCATACAAAAATGCTTCAGCAATCTATGTGAGACACAGATGATTATTCTATACTTAAAGGCAGCGGCTCGGCAGATTGACCTACCTCAGATTTTGACACAGATGTATAGGAGGCCCTCCAAATGAATCAAAACAGCAACTCCGCACCGGAAATGTGAACTCTGCAAGCCAGGGGGCGGCCCAAGCGCCGCTCCCCTTCCTCCTTTCGCTACGCCAGGAGGAAGGGGAGCGCCGCTACGCCGCTTTCCGTAACACCTTGTTCGGACGAGTATTCTCCGCTAGACAGCGCGGGACCCCCCAACCGCTTTCCCGCTTTGTGCATGCTATACAAAGCCAAAATTGCAGGCAGCAGGGTCTTCGTGCCAGGGCCTCCCGATTTTCCTTTGAAAATTCTCGTCCGAGCTGCTTTTCGGAAATTGAAAAAAAAACACTCCAAAAAGGCCTTTTCACCCCTTTCAAAGCTCAGATTCGGGATCTACGTGTCGAGAAGGCCCAAAACATGCAAAAAGATGGAAATGCAAAATCTGCCGGGACGCTGCCTTTGAAATGTTCACGTATCTAAGGCTCCCGCCAGAGTGCCGAAGTTATGCCAGCGCTACGCCAGCATTTCGATCGATAACGGGCGGGGCCAGCTGACGTCCCCAACGAAATACACGTGTATCGATCGAAATGCTGGCGTAGCGCTGGCATAACTTCGGCACTCTGGCGGAGCCTAAATTACGCGTGTTTCTGTAAAAAACTTTTAGATGAAAACCTGTCACAAACCATGTGCTATGCAATTAGAGGCGTTATAATTTGTCCTTTGTTGGCCATTTCAGTGCACGTTACACTAAGCCAATGTCTGTCACTTTACTTGAAATGCCTTGGTTGGCGAAATCGCCATAAATCGTGTTAAAATGGAAAAAGCTCTGCTGTTTTCTCACACACAACTCTGATTCGTGCTAAATGCTCAGCTTGCTCGGATATGAAAAGAATGATGCACTTGACTATATGTAGTAGTGTCATGGAAGAAGTGCATCACATACTGATAGGCAAAAGGTGAACAAGCGGCATACAAGTCACTAGCTGGCTTACCCGGCTCCGCCGTATCCAGACCAAACTTGGCACACATACACTTCGGGCCCCGGCGGGTGTCACAGTCCACTTTTCGTTATCGATCGATGTCGATTTTACCGATTTTTATCGATTTTTTTGCAGAGTTCACCTACAGGGCTAGAAGTTGGCACAGGGGGGAAGTGAGCATGGGGATTCCGAATACAATATTAGTTTTCAGAATTATCGATTACTTTTATTGATTTTATCGATTTTTTGTAAATTTTGACATGCGAGGCTGGGATTTTGCACAGGGGGGTAATCGAGCATGCTGGTTACGAACACAATATTAGTTTTCAGAATTATCGATTACTTTTATTGATTTTATCGATTTTTTTGTAAATTTTGACATGCGAGGCTGGGATTTTGCACAGGGGGGTAATCGAGCATGCTGATTACGAACACAATATTAGTTTTCGGGATTATCGATTACTTTTATCGATAATCCCGAAAACCAATGTTGTATTCGGAATCCCCATGCTCGATTACCCCCTGTGCCAACTCCCAGCCCCGTAGGTGAACTCAGCAAAAAAATCGATAAAAATTGATAAAATCGATATCGATCGATGACGAAAAGTAGCCTATGACACCCGCCGGGGCCCGAAGTGTATGTGTGCCAAGTTTGGTCCGGATCGGTTCAGAAATGGAATTTTCTATTTGGAACATACGTACAGACAGACAGACAGACAGACATACAGACAGACATACATACAAACAGACATTCAGCTTTATACATAAGATGCTTGCCAAGGTATGCGCTCCTTCAATAAGATAGAAGTAGACTTTCACCAAAGCAAAGCAATACATGAATGTAGATACGGTCAAGATGAAGATGATTTGTTGGAACAAATCAGACCCCTACCATTGAGCCCTCCCTTATGCGAACATTTCTTATTATTCACTCCTTTAATCTCTCACTTAACATTCGTACCAAGATTGTCGCGTTTCGCATTCCTTATCATCCAAATTTTCTGTATTCATTGTATTCATACTCCATACGTTTCACTTCAAAGGAGTACTCTCTGCATACATCAAGCTGAAAGATAAAGGTTCATAACTTAACCAATATCTCAAAATAGACTGATTATGCAAAGAAGGATAAAGATCGTCATTTTTTCTTTTTTTTCGAAACAAGGAACACAAGTGCTTCTTTCTCAGAAAAGGAATTTCAGCTGGGACAAGACAGTGTCTGCGATTGTCGCGTGTCCCCCAGCAAAGGTTTGCGGCATTTAACAGGTGTAGGGCATCCGAAAATTGTGACGATGGCGTGACCGAGCGCAACACGCACGCACTCCCATCTCTTGGTTTTTATCTCTACTCAAATATAGGGCTTACCAAACGCATTGTCGCTTGCATCAGCATCTCCACCCTCGCGCTGGACTCTGCGTCTCTTACGCATACACGCTCAACCACTCCCTATCAATTGAGGTTCCGCCCTTTTTCACGCTCGCCCTGGGAAAGTGATCAAATAGCATGTTTGTGAAAGAGATGCAGAGTCCAATGGCGGGAGTGGAGATGTTGATGCAAGCGACACTGCGTTTGATAAGCCCCATACTTTTTCTGCATGCATATGATAGTATTCAGACACTGGAAGACTGAGCTGAGCGTTGAGATGATGCCTTTTTGTATGAGTGTTTTATGCTCCTGTGTGCGCAAGGACCGCAATCAACTCGTCGTCATGACCTTAAAAATGAAACATACTCGCTCGCTTCAGCCGATAAGGCTGTTCTGATCCTAATTCACAGTGTTATCACTAGCTTGGCTACACTTGTGACCAAAACGTACCGATGTTAGAGATGTATTGTACATCCCAACATTCCTACCTTCTTCACGTATAAACCTTTTCAAAATTGCCTAGGTTAACATGTAGAATGGTTCGGGTAGGGGACTATATGTCGCCGAAAAAGGGCGGTCCCTGCGGTCATTTGCGACAAATAAGCACCCTTGTACATGCGCGGACATGCGTTCCTGCAGGGAATCCGCGCGGGACTCTTCCACATTCGGCGACACATAGTCCTCCACCCGAATGGTTCTGCTTTAAGTGCAGATTAAAAAAAATGTCCGTAAAAACTTCGAGATTTTTCGCCTTCCGGGGTTAGCGACGCTGAATCCGAAAGTGAAAATTGGAGTACACGAGAGGACAAAAATCAGCACAAAAACCGGCATGGGGCCCTATCTTTCGAAGCGGCTCTTCGCACAGTTGATAGATATCTCACCTGCGGACTCTGGCGACGGCTTCAAACGAGGCTATGCATTATGAAAACCCGACATCCAGTTCGCCCGGACACTGCCCTTACGGAACGCAAAGATGGCGCAGTCGCTGATACAAATTATGATGTGCATTATGATGTGTTTTTAATTTGTACTGTGCTGTCCCATACTCAGTATGCTAAGGATGTGCAAATGGAATAGAGTGCCCAAAACGGAGACTATTCGTTAGCAGGCTCGAAAAAACGAGAAGTAGGACAGAGCTTCAAACATGACTCCTGCTCCAGTCGAAGTATTCTCAGGACGTATTCGGAACGCACAACATCTACAGGGCTTTACAACCTGAGTGTCCCACCCGCCCCGCTAGGACGCCACGCTCAGGTCCGCGCAGCGTTCGTGGCGTTGGCTGCGCGTCGACTGAAGCTTGGCGAAATCCGGGCGATACGCAGCAAACGCCGCGCGCGGCCTGAGCGAGGCGGCCGCGTTGGAGGAGCCGCGCAAGCGAAACTTGCGACTCTCAGGTTGAAAAGCCCTGTACAAACTTTCATTACTTTCACCTTAGGTCATCGCTTTAGCCTTAGAGCGCGGCAGACATCATGAACATGACGCTATGGCTTGGAACATACTGGATCGCGATTTTTCGACAGCAGATTGATGCTGCTCAGCTGCTTAAAGCTGCGTAGCTTGTTTTTGTTTGAATCTACCGATTTCTACCAGTTTGAAGCAGAAAACTAGGGCTTAGGATACAGACCTCATTCTTAAAAAGGCTAGTCGTACAAACATTTTAAGATCATTACAAACTCGTGATTTTCAGACGCGAAAGTGGAGATATATTATGATAAGAACTAAATGGACTGATTCAGGTATTTGAAGATGTGAAGAGATCAAAACCTAAGGATAAGCAATAAATTGGGAAGCTGCTGATAATGTAGTCAAAAAGTTGGCCTCCAACGGACTTCATTTATAATTATTGTCTGAGGGACCACACACTCAGATAATCGCCGGGGGCAGGCGGTCCGCAAAGTCGCGCTTTTCTGCAGGCGGTCAGCAGAATTTTGGGGCCTGGCCAAACCTTCAGCGGGCGGCACTTCCTTTACGGTCGCATATTCTGCCAGCGGGCAGCAATACAGCATTTTTTGCAAGCGCTCGGCAAAAAAATTCTTTCAGCGAGCGCTGGCCAAACTTTCAGCAAGCGCTCGGACTCTTTTTAGGCATTTTCGGGCGTACGTCGAGCGCAAGTAAGACTCTGTGTGGCAGAGGTGTCACCGTTGGTTTAATTACTCAAGTTTGAGGTACTTTCTCTCAGCGGAAAGTACCTGGGGGTTGCGCGGTCCTCCACAAAGGACCGTGCGGCTTTCAATGTCCGCGAGAATGCGGCCACTGTGCCGCAACTTATGTATAGAAAAAGCGCGGTGGATCTTCGAGCGTTCGTCTAAAAATTGGCCAAAATTATTCCAAATTTTTGCAAGCGGACCACAAAAAATCAGCGAACTATTTTTCCGGTGCCCGCTTGCTCCAAACTCAGACAATCGCTGGGGGCAGGCGGGCACCGGAAAAATAGATTGCTGATTTCTCGCACCCCGCTCGCGGATTTTTTGCAAAGCAATCAGGACTTTTCGGAAGACCGCTTGCTGAGTCAGCGGATTTTTGAGAGACCGCCTTTTGAATTTTTTTCCGCTTTTATCGTTTGCAGATATATTGCTGAATCTCTGAGGAATCGAGAACTCAGCAAGCGGTCTTCCGAAAAGTCCTGATTGCTTTCCAAAAAATCCGCGAGCGGGGTGCGAGAGATCAGCAATCTACTTTTCCGGTGCCCGCCTGCCCCCGGCGATTGTCTGAGAATTCGCATGGCCGCTTGCCCCCGGCGATTATCTGAGATGTGGCAACAAGAAGAACGTGGAAAAGCCTGCGCCACCTCAGATAATCGCCGGGGGCCTGCGGCCATGCGAATTTGGAGCAAGCGGGCACCGGAAAAATAGTTCGCTGATTTTTGTGGTCCGCTTGCAGAAATTTGGAATAATTTTGGCCAATTTTTAGACGAACGCTCGAAGATCTACCGCGCTTTTTCTAAACATAAGTTGCGGCACAGTGGCCGCATTCTCGCGGACATTCCGCGAAAACATGCAAAATTATTGGGGGCCGCACAGTCCTTCGTGGAGGACCGCGCAACCCCCAGGTACCTTCCGCTGGAAGAAAGTACCCCAAACTTGGGTAATAGAACCATCGATGGCACCTTTGCCACATAGAGTCTCATCTTTTCACGGCGTATGCCCGAAACCGCGTAAAAAGAGTCCGAGCGCCTGCTGAAAGTTTGGCCAGCGCTTGCTGAAAGAGATTGTTTGACGAGCGCTTGCAGAAAATTTTGTATTGATGCCCGCTTGCAGAAAACGGAAATACCGCCCGCTGAAGATTTGGCCACGCCCCGAAATCCTGCTGACCGCCTGCAGAAAAGCGCGAGTTTGCGGACCGCCTGCTCAGATAAACGCCGGGGGCAGGCGGTCCGCAAACTCGCGCTTTTCTGCAGGCGGTCAGCAGAATTTTGGGGCGTGGCCAAACCTTCAGCGGGCGGCACGTCGTATATTCTGCCAGCGGGCAGCAAAACACCATTTTTTGCAAGCGCTCGGCAAAAAAATTCTTTCAGCGAGCGCTGGTCAAACTTTCAGCAAGCGCTCGGACTCTTTTTATGCAGTTTCGGGCGTACGCCGAGAAAAGATGAAACTCTAGGTGGCAGAGGTACCATCGATGGTTTTATTACCCAAGTTTGGGGTACTTTCTATCAGCGGAAAGTACCTGGGGGTTGCGCGATCCTCCACAAAGGACCGTGCGGCCCTCGAAATTTTTGCATATTCTCGCGGAAAGTCCGCGAGAATGCGGCCACTGCGCCACAGCTAATCCATAAAGAAACCGCGATTGTTCTTCAAGCATTCGTCTTTAATTCCGCCAACTTTCTTCCAAATTTCTGCGAGCGGGCCGCAAAAAATCAACGAACTATTTTTCCGGTGCGCGCTTGCTCAAAATTCGCATGGCCGCTTGCCCCCGGCGGTTATCTGAGTGCCCCCGGCGATTATCTGAGACGTTGTGTTAAGCGCCACGTCGCGCCAAATGATGCACTCGCAACGTGGCGCGAGCCCGAGGAGGCGGCGCCTCATCAAGCCACGTAATCCACGTCATGTTGAGGGAAGACATATGGGATGATATCGAGGGTACAAACTCTTCTTATTTTGACTGTATTATTTGGCACTTCAATGTTATAAACTCAGTGGTCAAAATGAGATATAGTACGTTTCATATGCAGGGTGTAATTTTCAAATTCCACTTGAGTCATTTGAGCTAAATTTTTCTTTTGACATACTGAAGCTGAGAGACGGTATGAAGTAGAAAAGTGAACGACTTGCATGTACAGGCAAGCATTATTATTCATAAAAGACGGCGAAATCACGATATTGAGGCTCCCGCCAAAGTGCCGAAGCCATGCCAGCGCTACGTCAGCGCCGAGCCAGCGTTCCGATCAATACGCGTGTATTTCGTTGGGGCGGGGTCCTGGCTGAGAACTAGGTCAGCTAGCCCCGCCCCAACGAAATACACGTGCGTCGATCGAAACGCTGGCTCGGCGCTGGCATAGCGTTGGCATGGCTTCGGCATTCTGGCGGGAGCCTGAATGGGAGGCATGAAGCCTAAAGTGCATAGCGGATAGCCAAGTTCGTAACGTCCCGCGCTCTAAGGCTGAAGCGATGATCTGGGCGAAAGCATTGAAAGTATGTACCTAGTGTTGTGCGTTCCGAATACATCCATCTCAGCTAAGGGCAGTTCTACAGTCACTCATCTTAAGGCCTAGACCAAGAACAGGCCCAATCTACTGGTGTAATCTTCTTGAACAAGAAGACCATGCAGATTATCCGCACATGTACAGGGCTTATCATTTGCAGAGTTAGGTGCACCACCAACTTCGTTCCCGTGTGGACGCCTCGCCGGACTCTGCGCCTCTCCTGCAACTATGCTCTCTAATCATTTTTGCGCCTTATGTAGCGATTCAAACTCCGCCTCCTACGCTCATGGTGGGAGCATGTTCGTGAAAGAGGTGCAGAGTGACAAGCGGGTTGCCACGCGGGAACTGAGATGTTGGTGCACCGACTGTGCAACTAAGCCCTGTACATGTGTTAGATGTTACATGTGAGAGGCCTGTATTGTTATAAAAGGCCTCGGGCATGGTTCACACGATCTCGTCCCCTCGCTGTTCTCTCGACTGGTATTGCGAGTCCATTGTACAGTCTGCTCCAATCGGGATCAGGCCGAACCATCGGCGTAAATTTGCGCGCTCGCGGCTCTAGCGGTCTGCGCTGCATATGCGCGCTGTCGGAGAGAGCAAAGAGATTGAAGAGGGAGCAGAGAAGCAGGCCGTGGGCGTGACCGCGAAAACCTAGCGACGCGGACTCCAGCCATGCCAACTATGGCCGGTTGGGATTGGGGCAGACTGTATGACGATCCTCCTGTAATTCGGCTGTAATATTTTCCATCATGACCCGGTGCGACTAACTGTCATAGCCGAAATGTAAGGTGGTGGACATGCAGTGGAGACGCAACAATTTTTTTTAGGTCGCGAGGCGACGAAATCGCGTGAACTGTGCCCGAGGCTTAAAGGCTTAATACGTATAGACGTGGTGTATTCTGTGCATGATGAAATCCACCTAATTCATATGCTTTCAGTTCACCGGGAGAGGCCTTGATTTTGACACATTCCGACGCAGGATATTGTGTAGCTAAGCAGAAGTTCAGCGGATTCGAGTGGTGAGTGCTAACTTTTCGCTTTTTGGGTAGAAGCGGACTTCACTTGTTGGTTCAAGCAGAGTACCAAAGTTACCATGGGCTTGAAAACGAGTGATGTTTCCGTGAACATGCGCCACATAGATAACTGGTTTTTTTTGAATCAGCAAAATCTGTATCTGCATGAATGAGGATCTGCCCGATTTACGGGATTTTAGAAGTGCTCTGCAAAGATCATTCAAATGATGGAGGATTGAGTAAAAATCACTTTGCGTACTATACGCCAAACGAACATTTGCGCTCCGCTTGGGCAGTGCCTTGTCTAAGACCCATCCCTTCCCCCCAACGTTTTTGTGCGAAAGACCCATGCGCTTAGTGCGCGGACACCTTGAGTATACAAACTTTACAGTGACTTGCAAAGGGGCGGCGGTGGAGGTAGGTACGATCGGCGCGAGTTTTTCGCGATGCGATGCCGCAGCGACGTCATTTGGTACAAGAACAGTACTCCTGACCCAATCTCACTTATGCTACCGAGTCATGTATTCCCTCTTCCTGTTTTGTCACAGGAAACTCTAACTCTAACAGCGGGAGCTTTAAAGGCAGTGTCTAAGCAATCTGGGTCCATGGCTTTTTTTCCTGGAGACTGATGAAGGGGCCTAGAGGATATCCGTCGATGACCGCTTCTTTTCGTGCATCCACATCACCGCGGAGCTTTCTAGCTTTACAGTGCGCGGGAAATTCGCAACTTGCAACTCCCTGTCCTATAAATTTTCCTGTTATTTAGGCAATTCTAATCCTTTTTTCTTCTATAACTTTCATTTCAAGCACTTATACTCCTACTCTTACCACTATCGGAGATCCATGCACAATCTGTCTTATGTTTGCAGGGGAAAAGTGAAGTTCAATATTTGCAGTTGTGGCTGCCGTAGTTAGGATGTGCATGTTTTCTTCAATATTTCGAAATGATCTTTCATTTCCCTCAGGTCGGGTTACTTAAGTGTTATCTCAGCGCTTATTAGAAAAGGAATAGAAATGAGGAAATTTCGAGGTGATTGGCAATTCAGTCCAAAGAAGTTCTCATAACCACAATAACTGTCACCGCAATTCATCAGGGCCCGTAGTAATCTACTCTACCTGGTAGCATCAAAGATGCCGGCAAGTTCGCGGACCTCGCGGCATGTTGGTGTTTCGGGCGCAAGCTAGATCTTGCTTTAGATTCTCGTATTTTGATTAGTTTTCCGTTCAGTTTTTCGTGAGTTTAGTTCTTCGCACATGAAATTTTGATGCCGCTGATATTCGCAAAACAGCGACATCGCGCGGGTCCGAACCTGGGTGCGTGAACCTCAAGCGCCAGCGCCACTAACCATTCGACCACTCGTTCAATTTCTGTTGTCTGCAGCAGCAATTATAGAAACGGTGCCTAAGTAGTGAGCGCCTGTATATGAGCATGATCAATACAATGCGCAATTGACATTGACCTGAAAAACAGCTGATTGATAAGAGGAGCGAGAGACGAAACCGTTGCAAATGAGATTTGAAGCAATTGCAAAATGAAACTAGCTTTCTTTATGGTATTATAATATTAGTAGTCGTTTCTTGTGCATACATATCATCAATATGGAGGAGAAAAATCCATATGATGGCAGAAATGATAGTTTGTCGATGAAAAATAAATTTTTTTGTTTTTCTGCTGGACGTAAAATGTGTGATATTGCCGCGCGACGATTTCACACACGCCGTCGGCAAAGGTGCCGACATCTGGACGTGGTAGGGGCATGTCGAGATGCCGGCTCGTCGCACTCCACTAAAGACACACTATTTCGTGCACTCTCTGACCTGCCGGCAGGCTGAGAGCGAGATGGCATCTCAAATTACGACGAAAATAGATCGTGAACCTGCCGGCAGGTTCACACTTCGGGCCAAATAAAGGCAAACGAGGGCATTTTTGGATTTACTCTCAATTCCCATACTATTTCGACAGCAAAACTAGACCGTAAACACAAAAAAATAGATGATCAGCCTGGCTTGGGAGTCCCCTGAGGCAGTTTAAGATTTTAGGGATCTCAAGTCGACATCGGGCGAGCTGAAGGTATGAGATGCCGGCAGGAAGAGCGGATTACTACGGGCCCAGACTCACTCTTTCCCCTAACTTCGCGTGGGATGGGTGTTACACGAACATTTGCAGTAAGTAACAACCAGTGGCGTACCCAGGATTTCCGCTCGGGGGGGGGGGGGGCGACGAAAATTTTTATCGAATGAAGGTGCGTGGCGTTAGCCACGCACTCCGAAAAATTTCTAGGGGTGCTTCTCAAAATTTTTGCGGGTCCTCAACTCTAAAATCTGGAAAAAGGGGGCGTGGCGTCAGCCACGCCCCTAAAAATTTTTTTACAAGGCTAATTTGAATTTTTAAAATTTTTTAAAAATTATTTTAATCATTTACAAGTATAAACAAGTCATTTGCACATTTTAATAACCCTTATAAGCAACTTTCCAAAATTTCGCGACCCATTCTCGGGGGGGGGGGCCCCCCCCCCCCGCCCCCTCCCTCGGTACGCCACTGGTAGCAACATATTGTTAGTTCAGGCGAAAAACTGGCGGAGTCCGCTTCGCAACGATTCCGCCGCTTTGCAAATTGCGTTGCTTCATTCTAATCAGCCAGTAGCGGTGCGGACGCACTGCTCCACTTGGAATGTTCCGCCTACTCCGGGTTGTAAAAGACTGTACAAGAAATTCGCGGAAGACCTCCTCCACGTCTTCGTAGAAAGCATCTAGTTCTGAGTCGTCAGCTGCTGATGTTGGAGAGTAGCAGTTGATGATGCTGATGGTCTTCTGACGTGGAGGGCGTTGTCGTAGGATGGCTAGTTGGGGTGATAGGATCTCGTGCGAATCGACAAGATGAACGATAGATGGGTGGACGACAAAGCCAACGCCTCCCACGTTTCGTGATGGAACCTTCTCACCGCGAATGATGAGCGTCCCATCATTTATCTGTCGCACGTCCTTCTTCCTGGACTTCGTTTCCTGCAGAGCGATGATGTGGTACTTGATGTGCTCTGCAGCGTCGAGAAGAGCGTGGAGGTCGGCGTTTGTGGAGACTGTCCTGGCGTTGTAGGTGCAAAGCATGAGGCAGTCTCCGTGGCGTGTCGTCCAGGCAGACATGTCGTTTTTGTCCAATCCAAACGGCGCTCTGAGGACCCTGACATCAGTCTTGCTACCACCGGCGCCGTAGGCGGGACTCGATATGCAGGGTTTCTTTCTATTCTTCTAAGTGGTGAAGTAATGCAATTTTTCCCCTACAAGAACAGACTTACTAGGCCAACTCTTGATTTTCACGGGGCGATCACTGACCCCGGGCTTGGAGGGGAGAACCGCCTAGCGACCTGAAAACCAGACGGCGGTGGATCTGGACTGGCCGGCTCTTAGCCAGGGAAACGTCGAACTCCTTCACAGCTTGGGAGACCATGCCAGAGTATACACTCGGCTGTGCATCGCAGTTCGATACCCAGTGTCACCCCCACGCCACGATGAGGCGGCCGACCATTGTGGGGGGGGCCTCTCCTCTTTTTTGAGCCAAAAATGGCGCAAACCTAAGCACTGGTAGATATCGCGCTCCAGTCACATGCGGTTTCCTTTGAGATATGCGGCGAAAAATGCGTCGGCAGATTGTTGAGGCCACAGATTTGCTTGGCCTAAGAGGTTTCAACATTCTGAACACTAAAATGGTACCATACTCATCAACGGAACCTTCCTTAACTCAGAATGTTTTTCTTGCTTTTTTGTTATATTAGGCGCTTCGAAATGCGCTTTTTTCGCTTTTTTATTGTTATTTTGATTGAGTAAGGGTTCCCCTACTGACTTTTACTTCAAGAGGGACCTTAAGCTGGAAAGGCTTCAAAAACGCATGCCCGCAGTATTGTGAATGCTTGAAACGAGGCGGTCTTTGACAAATATCCTTTACCTAAGGCACTGCCCAAGCGGGAGCACAAGTGGTTACTTACGGCTGAGAAACCATTTCGAAATCCGTCTGCACTTGCGCCGTGACCGTAACCCGCAAATGATTTCGCTCACTTGTATGCTTTGTTTGCCTGGGACCGGTCTCATCTCACTAGCGAGTTACGGTCACGGCGCAGGCTCGGGGTTTGGGGCATAGTTACGACAGAGGGAGCAATGGATCTTACCCCCTTCACGTTTGAGCCAGAATTCGGATCTCCTTTACCGAAAGCTAATTTGGGAAGGTAATTTAAGAGTGAACCATGATCAAAAAGCTTTTGGAGGATTCACCTCAGTCGTGAAACACAACAACCACAACCGTGAAAAGAAGTACTTCCATCAACTACAATGAGAATCATTACAATAGTTGCTTTTTTTCGCATCATTTCAAAGGCGCCTACAATAGATATTGTAGCCTAAAAAACTGACTTAATTTGGGAAATAAAAATAATTTGGAATTATAAACACTCCAGAAACGAATATAAGAATCAAAAACAGTCATTTTTTTCTTCAGAAACCTCAATGTTTGATGCTTGTTTGCTGCCTCTTTCTTCCACGTTTTTTGGGAAAAATCTTTTGATCATATTCATTTCCAAGCCTTGAAGTTTTCTAATGCTTGTCATACTTTTGAAGTGGATAAACGGATAAACGCCTTTTCTTGTAAAAGAAGCAAGAAAAACAACTAATAAATAAGTCCACATCTGCGTTAAGTTTAAATCCAGGTTGTCGATGTTCGTAAAAACCAAAAAAGTCTTGCTAAAGACTGCAAAAACAGCACAGTGTGATACGCAGTGATTACCATAAGTAGTAAATGATTATGATAGTAAGACTACTTGTTTAGGAAATGAAAGAGAATTAAACGCATGTTTTGTCTGCTGAAGCGAATCAGTAGTTAGGCCAAGTTGTTTCGCCCCAATCTATAAACCATTCAAAAGCCTTAGGAAACAGGAATTCGACATAGACCGTCTGCTTTTTTCTAGCCCAGCTCGAAAGATACAATGCATTTTATCTACATTTATGTCCTTTTTCAGCAGCAGATTCCCGCCCAACGAAGAACGAACTACCGCCGGTTATCTATCGTGTTACAGAGCAAGTCTTCATCAATAAGCGCAGACTGTCGACTTTTAAGTAGCTTTCATTTTCATAGCGATAAGAGAGCAGAAGAAGAGAACACTAAATCGTTGATATATTGGACAAATTCGCTCATATTTCTCGGCCCAAATTACCTAGAAATCGAAGGTGTTATTCGATTCTCCATGAACTCGGCTTTCAAGTGGTGTGTAGCTTGTTAAGGCATGCTTTCAGGGCTCACTTACCCCTTCACCCTATAAGGGTGGGAGTAGCAAAGACCCCCTTCACCTTGAGTGGGCCCGGCCCTATCACATATGGTTCCATGAGTATCCGATCTGCGTTGGTCCGATCCTTTGACGTGCCCTCTAAAAGGAGATACGGGCCTGTGATACGTATCACAAGCCCCCCCCCCCCTCCTTCGTATCACAGACCACCCCTGAGGACGAGTGCTTACGCAGGTGTGCGGTTGCACTGCAGTTGCATTGCAGTTGCACTGCACACTGCAATGCAACTGGGCACAAGGGCACAAGATTTGAGCGGCGTGCGCGGGCAATCATGACAGTGGAGTATGAAAAATTTCGGCGAATTCGGCGCATTTGCCGATTTCGCCGAATTCGCCGCTTTCGCCAAATTCGCCGATGTCGCCGAAAATTCGCCGATGTCGCCGATGTCGCCGATGTCGTCGACTTTGCGTCTTTCGCCATAACTCCCTTCGTTGTAGATGAATTTCAAATTTAAAGGCAGATTTGAATTCAGCTCGCCCAGACAAATCTTTTCGTATATTGAACTGCTGTAATGTGCTCGGTCACGGTAAGTGCATGGTAGGAATCCGTTGTATCTTGTGGTGGTGTTTTCTAGGGTATGTATTTCGGCGCATAAGTAGGCAACGGTTTAAGATAAAGAGCGTTTGATGGAAGACTTTCTGCAGAGTGTTCCCTGCAAAGAGCCATATCGTTTTTTGTTGTGAAAAAAAGAGAAAGGGATACGTGAACTTAGCAAATATACATGAACCACTTACCGTCAAACAAACATAATTATACAGCAACATTATGATTAGCAAAACATATAATCTTTGTAATCCGCATGTCTTGTTGCTTTTATGAGCAAAGTGACACACCGCATGACTACTATAATCTGCTTCCAGAGGACTTCATTTCTTCTGTAGACTCCTCTTTGCAACGCTGTGGCCCAGCCCCTGTCACACTTAAAAGATAACAATTGAGGTGAATCGGAAAGAGCTCTTTCCGTAGATAATCAAGCGGTGAAAAATAGACGGAGACATGTTTTTTAAAGCGTGAAAAGAAATGGTGAATTTTGGAAAAATCCATCCAGATTCCACTTACCATAACGCTACAATGAAAAGCTAGCTAGACAGGCGGAAGCGATTTTTGTGATGAACAGGCCAGATTATTTATGAGCAAAATTTCGGGAAAATTCGAGCTTTTCGATTTTTTCTCATTTCACGCTTCGAGTTCCACAATTTTTCGCGAAAAAGTTGAAAATAGTAGATTGACCGGAAACTTTGCCAATAATGGATTTTTGATAGCTGTTTACGAAAGGCGCAGTCCTTAACTGTGGGGTTTACAGTGAATTACGATGAAAGGGCTGAAGCTGAAGCATGCGAGCTCCGAAAATTGACTGTACTTTTCGCCCGACTACCGAAGCAAAATCCTAGCTTTTTCAAGCATGGCAATTTATAGAAACTCTGTTATTAAACCGTGCCTAAATCATTCTGTCGCTTGCAGTATTCACTGGGCAGCGTTCACAAAGTCGCCTTCTCATCCTGTGGGCTGGACATGAGAGTGCGCGTATTGTATCCAAACTTCACCCCAAGCGAATCTGTGATGATAAGTACAACACCGCTTACATTTTTCGAAAAATAGACGCGAATGTCACATAACTCATACGACGGTCGCCCAATATATGGACATCAGAGTCGGTGGCCACATCTCGCTTCAAAGTGGACGAATTCTGAATCCAAAGCCACTCTTCGATTCAGCTCGGTGCGGAGAATCTTCTGATGTATTGGAAGTGGGGGTACGATTCTTCGATATTTCGTTTCCAGTTTTTTCATGTTCTGCGGAGGCTTTCCGCGAATATGTGAAGCAACGCCTAACCAACATAGAAGACTTTACTAAGTACTATTCGATAATACTGTTTTTGTTGATTATTGTGCGCTAAAAAATAGGCTCAGACTTCTTTTCAAAAGAGATAGAAGCGTTGGTGAATTTTGGAAAAATCACGTTTTTTTAAATTCTACTCGCCATAACTTCCTTCGGAGTAAGTATGTTTTGAATCTGAAAACAGTGCTGTGCTCAGCTCATCAACGCAAATATTCTGATGTACAGCATGCCCTTGATATTCCTACTTAAGAATTCTTGAATCTTTCTGCGAACGTCTATTCGCGAAGGTGTAAAGCAGCGAGCATTGTCCCGAGTACATTCCGGCAAGGACCTTTCGATAGTACTTTTTCTGTGGAATACGATGCGCCAAATAGTAGCCGCAGATTTATTTTCAAGGAAATAGATGGGCTGGTTTGTGGAATAATCTTGTCGTCCCAAATTCTACTCGCCGTAGCCCTTTAATACGAAGCTCTCTTGCTAAGCAGATGTGATTATCGTAATCAGCAGGTTGCATAACCTCTATGAGCAAGTTTTCCAAGATGTTCGAGTAATTTCATTTTTTTCGTTTTACGCTCTGGAAGCTCGCCGATGAAATTTGGTCATAATGTTGCTTCGCTAATAGAAGTTTTCAAACACGCTTTTTACGAAAATCGTGGTCTTTGAGGATTACAGGGTCTTTTTGGGGAGCTACGGTGAGGTGACTGTAGCTGCACCACGAAAGTGCGTAAATTTGCCCGCACTTCTCGCGTATCTTTCAGAAAACTTGCCTGCTTGCTTTTCTAAATCAAGGTTACTAGGTATCGAATGGCGCATGACTCAGGCTCCAGTCTGTAAAATTCGCCGCGTTACGAGCTATGGAAACACGTCCTCATGAATTTTGCCCAAAATCTAAAGATCGCATATTTCGTCGAAATTCCACCGTGAGCGCTTGTGCAACACGCTGATCAAATCATTTCACATCTTTAATGGATTTTATTATGGTAGTAGTTTGAGCTTTAGCCACGAAATAGCTTCGATATCCAATTAGGCAGCTGAAGCACACGCAAGCACCATATTCAATACAACAATACGCAAGCACCATATTCAATACAACAATACGCAAGCACCATATTCAGTACAGTGTGAGTTATTAGTCAACATAATACTTGTAGTATTACTGCCATACACCCACTCACGGTAGAGTTTCGACGAAATATGCGATCTTTACATTTTGAGCAAAATTCATGAGGACGTGTTTTCGTAGGCTCGTAATTCGGCGAGTTTTACAGAGTCAGAGCCTGAGTCATGCGCCATTCGATTACTACATCATGCGCCGAAATACATACCTTAGAAAACACCACCACAAGATACAACGGATTTCTACCATGCACTTACTGTGACCCAGCACATTACACCAGTTCAATATACGAAAAGATTTGTCTCGGCGAGCTGAATCCAAACTTGCCTTCAAATTTGAAATTCATTGACAACGAAGGGAGTTACTGCGAAAAGACGCAAAGTCGGCGACATCGGCGAATTTGACGAAATCGGCGAATTCGCCGAATTTGCTGAAATTTTCACATTCCACTGTCATAACTGTACTTCCTGACGCGCAGCCATCCATTATCGTTCGTGTTACATAGTCATTTTCTCTTCAAAATCGGTAGCAAAAGGAAAGGATGAAAGGACACTATCTCCAGGATTGCGCTATGTTCCACTTCTCACCTTTTTAGGGAAGCCAAACCAACAATTCACAAAGATCATGTGGCAATCACGTTATGGTGCAATCCTGAAGTGGAAACCGATTCTTGGCGCTGTGCTGCTCTTATTACTGTGTACAGCTGCTCGAGCGTCGATAATGGAACTACTCTGCTATATAGAGTCTGTTTGTCAGCTCTTCTGAATCAGTTTTTGGCAAAATACTGTTTCACACAATTAATCTAGTGCTCACACATCTTCCACAACGAGTATCGCTCGACGAGCATCATAATTCCTCGCTTTGAATTGTATAACAATGGTTCATTGGGAATTCTCAGTACTTCTAGGTATGAGTTGCTGTAGTGAATGATTACCTGCTTTCGTACTGATCACTTCCGGTTGTTCTAGAGAAGCTGCAATGACTGGTTTGAAGTTTACAAAGCCTACGGAATTTAATAATACCTGCATTGCCTTCAAAAACAGTGACATGCGTGTTTTTGTAAATAAGGAGGTTGCTATGGCTTGTGTGCTTTGAAAAATAAAAGGTTCCTTTGTTCAGTACCTAATGATGAACTCGCAAAAATTTGCGACGTTATTTACACCGGAGCGCGCTGAATCGCCTGCTTCCAATTTGGATAAGTCCGAGTCGGGCGATGATTTCGACATTCTGAGCTCGCGGTCAGCCTCTCATCAGGGTGTTTTCTTTTGTGCACTGTCGTTTTTTTTTCAGGGCTAGTATGCCTGAACAGCCCTTGAGAGACGACAGCGTTCTCGATGTCAACCTTCTTTCTTCTCATGGTATGTTTAAGAGTTGCGTTTAAGCAATGCAGTAATGTGCTTAGCTTCGGAAGCATGTTTGGCCACAAAAGTAGACAGATTTATATCCAAACTCTTGCAACCACTACAGTTTACCTCATACGCAGTGTCCTTTCCCGTAGGCATCTGTTGCGCCAGAGCCTAGCTTCATGTTAGCGCAAGTGGGCTCTTCATATACACCACAGTTCGTTCTGAGAAGGCGCTCCAAAGGTCCACCAGTTTCGCCCACTTCCGTTGAGGGGGCGTCATTGTGCCTCTCTGAAGCGCGTTCCCAGGAGTCCTTTTTATCAACCATTGCCTTTGAGACAGACTGTGGATTTAATGCAGTTTGACCCATGAAAATGAAGTTTGGTATTGTTTTTCAAAAAACGTGCACTATGTTATTTTTCGATATCATCAGCGTTGAAGTTCTTTGCAGGTGATGGTGTTCCATCCCCAGCTGTCTGCGAAGAACGAGTGTTTTTGCTTGAGGATGTCAACATAAAAGATTTCATTGCTTTTTTGGAAACCATTTATCCACCCTTTCATAACATCACAGGTAGGTGCGACTTCTTTTAACATGAATCTGAACTTTTCTTCAAGGTGAAAACGTTGAAAGCGTATTACCGACGGCTTTTCGCTTTGATGTTGAGCACATTTTGAAAAAATGTGAAAACTATCTAAGGACTGAAGATGCTAGGAAGTCGTTCGGCCTTTTCCAAAGACTCGTGTTTGCCACAACTTACAAAATGGGTTCTCTCCAGGTTTGATCCGGAAGGATACATCTAGGAAATGTATTCTTGCAAGTTTAGAACGATTGTCTAACATTACTTCAAAATTCACGTGATGTTTTGCTACTGTTAGACGATCCACGTGTGAAGAACGCATCCCCGGACTTGCGTTATCTACTGCTGGAAACGTTGCATAAACGTTTCAGGTCCGAAGCAGGAACATCCCCCTCTGAAGGCTTGTAATTTGGAATCATTATTTATCAGCTCGGGTGTTTGTGCGTTTATAAAATTCAGTTTCAGCGGATGGGGCATCTACGACCTCGAACTTCTGAGGAAAAGGCAGACCATTTAAGCGAAAAAAAATCTGAAGAATATCTACAGTTTCGAGACTACTTGGTTAAGAAGCCGAGCATGCCTCCGATTTTTTTATACACAAAATTATGACTAACTTCCTATTTGTAACTTCCATATTATGTTAGTTACGTGAGGTATAGACTTTTTGTATCTTCAATCGTCTAATCACTCAATCGTTTTTTGTGTAATTACATTGCCTTTTTTGCGGCAGCCATCTGAATTGAAGTGAAGATTCGGAGTTGTTTTGAAGAATGTTTACTACATTTGAAGTAATTAGTTAACAAAGATCATAACCACAGTAGCTAGTACCTCGCACAACTTTTTCGAAGCGCGATTTAGTAGGAGAGGTCAAACAATATTGTTCTTGGTTCCTTAGCTTTTACAAGCCATTCATAATGAAGTGAGATTTTTGGTTGTAAGCCAGTTTAGATGAGCAAATTTGAAAAGCTAGTGATGGTAGGTTACTGCCTGTACGGTAGCTTCTGAATGCATTGAAATCTTATTAGTATGTTGGGCAAACATTTCTGATTCCTCAGCATTCGATAAGAGGGTGATGAAAATTTAAATTTAGGATGTATGATTGGGACAGTGTCATCACAGAAGGTTTTGCTCAGATTTTGATAAGGTTTCCTCTCCAAAAGTACACTGAAGACCGGCTGAGCGTTTTCTCTACGCTTTCAAAGCTGCACTCCTTTGTTCTAGATTTTTTTGCATACGTTGCTGAAGTGCTGCATTTACTAACTACAGGGTTGGGGGAAAGTCTTTGAACACGGTATTTCTAACGTAATGATGAAGCTAGGCAAGGTGATTACATGAAATAAATAGGTAATGTTTACTTAACTATCTGCTACACAAATCTGGCTTTACAATTCGAAGATTCCTCCTTTGACGCGAACACAAGCTCGGATACGCTTGGGAACGCTGTTTATGGTGGCACGGAGGTGCTTCACGTCGATTTTTTCCCACGTCTTTTGAAGAGTACTTCGCAGAAACTCCACAGTCATGCGTGGGTGAGGCTTTGGCCTAAACAACTGACCACAGGCTGTAGTCGGGGGTATCAGATCCGGCCAATACGGAGGCCATTCCGCAAGGGTAATGAACTCCTTCATGTTGCTTTGGAGCCATGCTTGAAGAAACTTCGCTTTGTACGCAGGTGCGCTATCCTGCTGGGGACACCATCCGCCCCTGGCAAAATGGGTATTGGTCCAGGCCAACAATCTCTTCTTCAGGCTGCTCTCCACGTGCTAGCGGTGTTCATCTCGATGTGCTGGGACACAAAAATCGCCTGCATCTTGCAGTCGGAAGCGATCTCCGCGCAAACCATCACAGAAGCCGGAGGCAGCTTTCCTTCTGCAGGTCAACTCTTGCTATTGACTTCCGGGGCCGATTAAGTGATGATTGTGTTGTTTGGTAATCAAGAACTTTCCTCACGGTGAAAATTTTGACGTCAGAAAAGAGTATCGTTCGGTGGCGTGCCTTAGAGAGGCGTTTAAGCAGTCGATGCCATCTGCGCAGCCAGTCCAGCTTCGTGTCCTCCCAAAAGCATGAAATTTTAGCATTCTGAAAAGCTTCATCGCAAGGCCCTTTTTTACTATGCCGGAGATTGTTCTGCCAGAGATGGACAGCTATGAAGGCAGCTCTAACAAGCTTCGCCGAGGTTTGCGACGAAGGCATTGGCGAACGATTTTCAGAATTTCGTTACTGTCCGCAGTAGCCAATTTACCACTCATACAATAGTCCTGGGTGCTGTTCATATCCTGGAAACGACGCAATATCCTGGAAACGACGTAAGTTGGAAAAGACCTTGATCTGTAAAATTTGTAGAGCCCGCGCAATTTGCTGGTCAGCCATCCTCTCCTCATGCATCTTCTCCACCAACGCTCCATTCCAGGAGGCATATCTCCGGTAGGAAAAAAGCTAGTCCAGTTTTTTGAGAGGTTGTACTCAAGAGTATAAGAAGCAAACACATATAATTAGCATACAAAAAATTGTGGAATGGCTGAACATAAATGGACATCAAAAATGGTTCAAGGACTTTCCCCCAACCTTGTATAGTGAACCGGCAAGCTAAAGGTGCTAGGTTGGCAGGCGCGCGCTTCGGGACCCGCCGCGTTTCCCGCGCTATTGAAAAAATTTTGGATTGAGTTAACGATTTTTTACATATTAGATGACGAATAACATTCCCTCGAACTTTGCAGATGTGAAATTACCTGTGCTTTAAATGTTCCTCGCTTGGTTGTCGATTGAAAATATTTTTCTTATTGTTAGAAATCATTGGCCCGTAGTAAAGCTCGATCAGTTGAGGTGAACTCAACTTAACCCATCAGTTCACCGCACGTGAGGTGAACTGATGACCACCCACCCTACCATGCTATAAAATGGTCAAGTCAACTGATAGTTGACGATCTGTCCACCTGCTGCAGTCAACTCTTCCACATCAGTTCGCGTTCAAGTCACCTCAACGTGAACGGATGTTAGAGTGATCCAAATAGTGTGTAGATGAGGAGACGCAGACAAGAGGTGACTGCATCTAACATAAGTTGCTCCTGAGTAACTTACGATACACACAGCTTTGCAAAAAAATGCAGAAAAAATCGGCGCGAAACTGCACAACCGCGCCCGAAAAGGAGAGAATCGATGAACAGCTGATTTTGGCGAGGAAAAGAAAAAACCTCTTTTTCTTTTTTGTAGATTTTACTGACTTTTTTCTTTGACAAACTGCTCAAGGCAAGAATTTGTAGATTTATTTCATTGGATTTATGTTGCAGTTATTTCAATTTTCCATAAAATTTTCGCCAAAAAATGCGTTTTTGTGTCATCCATGTTTTTTCTAGGCGAAATCCTTGATAGCGGTCATCATCGATTTTCCGATAGTGGTCGCTATCAAAGACGCCCTGCAATACAGCAAAAACGTGTCGCTAGCCGGTGTCGAACCATGGCCGCGCGCGTTCAATTTCAGTCCCTTACCTGCTCGACCAAACCAACTCGAGTGGTTCCCTTTTCAAGAACGCACTTGATTGTGATGCCTCGGAAGCAATCCGCATCCAAATCAATGGGTCGCCGGATGCTGGACTGAGGCGCGATGAGCTCGCCCCCGGTCCGCGTTGAGTGAGATGCACTGATGGGGGGTTTACTACGGGCCATTGTTTTGATTTGATCGATAAGGCGGAAGCACCTTTCGGTACGGTATTGATGATTCCCCAAGGGAGACGGCCCTTCTGAACCCACAGTGCGCTACAGTAATTCAATATCTGGGGCGCGAGCGCTCGCGCTACGGCTGCGTTCATACTGATTACGAAATCCGAGAACAGTCCCAGCACAACGCTCAGTTCGAGCACTGTGCTAGAACTGTTTCAGGATTTCGTAATCAGTATGAACGCAGCCTACGTTTGACGCGGACGAGTCGTCCTCTAATTTCGAAAGTTGCTCTCTTCGACTGAGTAACATACAACTTGAACCCATCGAGCTTCTCTTGCGGACTTGGTATGATTCGCTGTTGCCCCCCCCCCCAGTTCTGCTATCTGCTGCCTTTAGCTGTAATACTAGTTACTAATTCGAAATCGAATACTTTTACAAAGGTAAGTTGTATTTTATCGCCAGTGGAGCACTTTAGTAAATTCTTCTATCTTGATCTTGCTCGTTTCTTCACGGCTTGACGTTCACAGTAGGTACTTTTGGATTGTTTCAGCATAAATTAGCGTAATAATTCTCCTCTTTCATCCTCTAAAATGAGCAAAGAATCTGGTCTTGGGCAATTCTTGGCCTTTCAAAAGTAGTACTTTGTTAGCAATTATTGTTTTCTTTATTTCTTAACTTTTTTTTGTTTCATAGTCATTAGGTTCTGATTTGAAATGATAAGTGTTGGAAAAGATTGTCATCATGAAGTTCTCTAACTTGTGCATTAGACTGTACACCTGTTCTTTTGCTGAAGTGCTCAGCTGATCAGAAACGGTCCGAATGTCAAAGAGCTGTCTGGTATAAAGATCTTGTCAACATATGAAGATCTAGGCCTTTACACAGGTTATCATGAATTTTTGAAACCATGAACCCTGTTTAGAGTGCTAGACAATCTCGTTTTAAAGCATGCGTTTGATAGTCATTGTTTTTATGTAGTAAGACAAAAAATTGCAGGGTTTTTGGTCTGGAATCTGTGAGTTTGCACAGACGCAGGCTCTGTATCTCAATGAGTTTCTTAACATATCTCGTTGGGAACATGTCGAAGCATTTCTCGCCATTCTTTTAGTTAGGCTTTGGCCATGTGCCACTATAGGGCAACTTATAACTGGGAGATAACACAACACGTCGCTATGAACGTTTATTGTGACACTGAGGAAGCTTACAACAGAAAAGCCCCGTTGACCCCCGAACCCGCCCGCTTTACTGCGGGATGATTTATGTATAGGTCGGTTCGGCCACAATACGTAGCAAATGGCCGAACACTCCGGCCCGGGGGGGGGGGGGCAACAACAATAATAACAACAACAAATAAATAAATGATAATGAAATTCTATCAAACGACGTCGCGTCTCCTTGAGCGTAGTGGATTGTGGATCGGCGTTGACGTTGAGGTGGTTGTCGTTGATTGAGCTGTAGGTTGACGAAGTCGTTGTTGATTTTCGGTGGTTGGCAGCGGCTAATGGTGGGCAGATGAGGCGGTTGGCAGTAGTAGGTTGGCAGTGGGCGTTGGAATATTTAGAATAGTAGGTAGTATAGTAGTAGATTGTTGATTTGTAGATAGTAGAGTAGTAGTGGAGTTGGCAGATTCAGTAGGGGGAATGGTGGTATTTCCTCTTCTTGAAGTGGGGTTTGTGAAGTTGTTCTTTTGAAGGGCACATCAACGAATTATGGGGCAGTTGGCAGAAGGTGCATTTCGCTCCACAGTCTTCAGGATGTGAAGGCTTCAGACATCGTTCACAAAGACCCAGCTTTGTGGCCTGAATCCCTCGGGTCAAGGAAGTAGGATAGCGAGTGCAGCGACCGGACATATGGCTATCCGTATTGTCCTGCGGAATACAGAAGACACACAGCTTTTTAGGAGCTGATCGTTCTAAGAGGGAACTTAGAGCGTTCTCGATTGCTGTTAGGCGAGTTTCCTGGCTATGGAGTATAGAGTGGAGTAAGCCTGTGGTCTTTTCGTCCTTGCCCTCGATAGTTTTGATGAGAATAGAGAATGCGTTGTCTTGGGTAGGCTCGCCGTCGAGGAGGTAGTTGTAGTCAGCCATGATGGTGTGTAGCTGAGTTGTACTTTTCGGCTTTTTGTACGATTATTTTTGGGGTCCCGCCTCTACTGTCAGCTGTTGTTAACAACTGCCGCTGTTTTTGCTCCTCCCCTTTATTATTGAGGCGGCAAAAAGGATTTTTTGAATTTTTAAGATATTTTTACACATTTTTTGAATTTTTAAGATATTTTTACACATTATTTACAACCGCTCACGGTGTGTATGGATTGTCATCGCGTCAACGCCTAATTAGGTGCGTTGTCCGCATGCTGTCGGATGACCCGGACTGTATTGATTGCTCCGCGAAGCAAAGTGATGGCGAGGCACATTGCCTGCCATGCGACCTTTGCGACTGCTAGCGCTAAGGTCCATAATATTCGAACTATTAGCATCAACGCGGCCGGTCCAAATAGGTATGTGATGCCTATCATTGCTGATATTCCTCCTATAGCTGCTAGAGCTGCTCTCCAGTGGCTTTTTACTGTATTTACCAAGGGCTGGAGATCTGGTACGTTTACTAGATTTGACCAATTGTTTTTGATATCGGGTTCGATGGATTCAAATATTGAATTTGATGTATTATCTGGATGGTAGTGTAGTGTGCCTTCCAGAGTAAATACTTGTTCCGTATTTCCACACAGTGTGTGGCATTTTTCATGTATCACTGCATGATCAAATTCCATTGTTATGTTCGACGACCTGTTGTTTTTGTCGCAGGGTATACTGAATACTTGTGTTTTACATTGTATGGTTACCCATGTTTCAATTTGTGCGACACATGCAACATCCAGTGTGGAACCTTCAGTACACTCGTAACATCCGACAAAGTGGTGTTATTTTGCATGGTTCAATAATTATGTAGCTTGCACGGTCAAGCATCAGAGACGATTTTATCGCTAAAGTCGTTTCTCCTTCGTGTGTGTATGTATACAGTTCCATAGCCTCGGATTTGATTTCCATGAGGCTTGTTGAGATTGGAAGATGGTTTGAACGCTCGAATCTCAGTTTTGCAAATGCATTGTCGGGGCAATGGCACGTATGTGGAGCTTGTGGATTTTCGCACATACATATCATATGATCTGTGCATTTAGCAAAGTTTTCGGTTGCCATATTTTTGTTAGCACATTGAACTGGGAGCAAATAATTGTCCGGTACTAAAAATGCTTCGTTTTCTGCAATTGCAAATCTTTTCTCCAACAATGGATAGTGGGGTTTTTGCAATGTAATTGCTGTTATCGACATTTTACCGATTTCTTTTGTCATATACGGTATTAAAGTGATATTTTCTACTTTCTTCAAGTTTTGTATTCTGGTTGCTATTTCTAGTTCTATGACTGGTTCCCAATCCAGGCAGCTAATAACTTCGTAAGCTGTTTCTGTCAATGGGACGTGTGCTAGTCGCATAAATGAGCACGCAGGCATAGGTAACAAGCATCCACACTGCAATCCTCCGCATGTTGGAACACATGTGGAATAACCCGGATAAGGTCGGGTTTCGTTGAACTCTTCGATTATCTCTGTAGGGGATAGGGTATTGCATTTATGCAGTGTACAAGATCCTGCCTGAGCACATCTTGTGATGTGGAATATTTGGTAGGCGGTTTCCCTGGTGAAATAATGGGAAATTTTTGCACATTTCATTTTCATGTAGCGTTTGGTGATCATTATCAATCCAATAGACTTGTTGGCGTGCATTATGTCAATGCATATTTCGGAGTCAATATGGTTGAATAGAACTTCTTGGTCATATTCGTAGGAGCATATGTTTTCGTTGGTGCACACAAGCTCAGCCGTGTGGCGCATGTACCCATGCTGGCATGTGTGAGCCTCTTTTGAACCCAGTAATAAGACTGCACATATTGCTATTACTGTGGGTAATGGAAGTAGATTAAATGCTTCCATCAACCGAAATTCCTGGTGTGTTTCCATCTGCATTTGGAAGGAATTTTCAGGTTTTGTGCGTACTTTTTTGTGCATTTTTCGGCATAACCACACGCTAATCATCACGGTGGTAATTATACAGTATATTATGAGTGCAACTGTAATTATTGCTCCGATTGGCCAGCAATGTGGGTTTCCAATGAGGTGTTTGGAAAGTAGCTTGGATTCATCGCAAAATTTTTGCGGTTCGCATACTCGTGTTTCTGAGATTACTGTACCTTTTTCCAAAGTTCTTAATTGAACAATGGTAGATTTATCTGTCGGTGTTTTTGGCAGATTAAAAATTTGCAAGTCCGTTCTATTAAAAGATTTGCAGTGATTATTAAAACAAAGTTCGTAGTATTGTTTAGGTGGACGAATTTGAACTTGTCCCAATTGGCATGAAACATTTGCTGGTACAGCAAATGTTGTAGCTGCCAGATTAACCATTATTGCCAGCATGACTAATGCTGAAGACGTTCCTGAACAACATGGTTCCTCAAGGCTTTGTTCAAATCTTTGAATTGTATCGTATGCTCTAGTTTTTGATGCTCGCGTTGGATTTCTTCTGCCAACCGTGTTTGTGGGCTCCGCCGTGGATGTTGGCGGATTATCGCCGTATCGGGGATCGATTGCGTCAGTGCGCGACGGTTGTAAATGAGGTGGACTTTGCACCTGAGATTGACCTGGCGTCTCATTTGGCGTGCATGGATCACATACTGTGAGTAAATCGCGGTCGTTATTCTCTGAGCTATATATTTCTAGAGGATAAATCCTATTCACTGGTCTCTGTAGTATTCTTTTATTTGGCATCAATAATTTTACCGTACGAATTTCATTGTCTTTGCTCGTAATGATTTCTATCACGTTTCCATATGACCAGCATCCGCGAGGAATGAGATCTTGCTCCAGTAATACAATTTCACCAACTTTTGGGTACTCATTGTTGTGTCTTGGTTATTTGAGAAGTCTTCTTTGAGTATCTCGTAGCAAAGTTAGATATTGCATGTGCCAAGCATCCCAAAATTTATTGGAAATAACCTCAGAAAATTCGTACGCTTCTTTTGCTTGCGCTACCGTTTGAATTAACTCTGGGTCATATTCTTCATCGTCTGCCTCTAGACGTAAACTGGTGGGGAGAGAAAATTTCAAGTTTCCTTGCAGAAAATCGACCGGTCGAAGTGGAATTTCGTCAATATCGGTTCCACTGAATTTTGTGATAGGTCTAGTATTGATAATAGCTTCGATCTGAGTCGAGATTGTGGTCATTTCTTCAAAGGAAAGTTTTTTACGACCAACCGCTTTTTGAAAGCTTCTTTTGACGGATCCAACTAGTCGTTCCCAAACTCCACCCATCCATGGGATGCTGGTGGGTTGAAAATCCATTTAATGTTATTTTTTGCTGAGTAGGTCATTACGGACGCGCCGTTTGAGTCATTTTCCTTGAAAAAATTGTCTATAATCAGTTGACCCAACCTAAAATTAGTTCCGCAAGCACTTCGAATTAAGTGTGAGACGCCTCTCCGTGCGATAAAGCGCAGAAAACTGTTCAAAAATGCCCCTGTGGACAAATTTTCGGTAACTTCAAGATGAATAGCTCTCGTAGTTAGACAGGTGTACAAGGAAATGTACATTTTTGCGTTCAAATTTGAGTCGAAAGGACCCATAAAGTCCACTCCAACATTTTGAAATGTTTTTGTTATCACCACACGATCTTGAGGTAGGGGTGGCATTGCAGGTGCGCCATAAGGCAAACCTTGGAATCTTTTGCAAATAGTGCACCTTCCAATAACTTTCTTTACAGTACGAGAAGGTTGTGGGATCCAATATTTTTGTCGAATGAGCGACAAGGTATGATCTTTTCCTGCATGAGCATTATCAATATGAAATTGATGTATCAATAACCGGGCAAAATCCGAGTCTTTTGGAATGTAAATGGGATTTTTGGTGTCGTAACTCAAATTTGCGTTTTGAATCCTTGATTCAAAACGAATAATTCCATCATTATCTTTGAAGAATTTTTGATTCTGAAACCTTTTTGCTAGGTTTTCAATGTTAATGTCTTTATGCATTTCTGAAATTATCTGCTTCTGGCTCAAATCAAGATCTTTGGCTGTTATTTCGGGACATTGTTCGTAACCACTTGTGGTTACTAAACGTATGTTGGTGCCTCTGTTTGTATTGCATTTATGCACCCATTTATTGAGCAGCTTAGCTGCGATGGCAAAAGCTCGCAGAGCTTTTGCCAGATTTGAATGCCTCGACAGTTGGACTGTTCTAACGTTTATGGTCGAGGTCACAATTTCGACGTTGTTGTGATGGACGGATGTGCTCTCGTCGCCCTGGGGGTCAAATTTGTTTTGGATATCTGTCAACCAAGATGTTGTTATCCAACGCAGCTGTGATGGATTATTGCTCGCCAGCCATGTCGGACCGTTGACCCAGCTGTGGTTGTAAATGCTGGACGCGGACAGACCGCGTGTACCGGCATCTGCTGGATTATTTTGCGAGGGAACATATCCAAAGTTTACAGATAGTCCATTTGTAGCTAAGTTTTGTTTCAATTTTTTGATGCGATCAACTTGATTCGCCACAAACATGGGAACTTTTCGAGAGGAATTTATCCATGCTAACGCAATTTCGCTATCACTAATTACATTGATTTTCTCGAATATACTTTTGGCATTGTTTGATATTGTAGTCGCCAAGCGTAAGGCTAAAACGATTGCGATTAGCTCTAGCCGTGGGATAGTTTGAATAGCTTTCTTGGGAGTTAATCTCGTCTTGCCGCTAATCAATCCCGTGACCTTATACGATCGTTCGCACCTTAGAAAGGCGCACACTGCCATAGCCATCTTGCTAGCATCCGCGAAAATCCATAATGTGGTGTCACTAGCTAATGCACGGTGCATTATTATGCATCGCGGAACGGTAATCGATGCACTGTTCACTTCTTGGCATGCTAATTGCCATTTTTTGCGCAATTCTTCTGGTACCGTATCTTTCCAGTCAATATTTAGAGTGTAAATCTCTCGCATAAGAGACTTAAGTTTGATTAGCAGCGGAGCTGCTAATCCAATAGGATCATAGACTGAATTCAGCTGGCTTACTATGTCCCTTTTGCGTAATTTTTCTAACGATGAAAATTTCGTATTGACAGAAAATTGATCTGTTTCAATATCAAATTCTACACCAAGAAATTTGATCTTTTTACCCGCTAACTTGTCTTTTTCGGGTATGGCATTGTTGACTTCTACGGAATTAGAAATGAATTCTCGTAGATTTAGCCCAATTTCTGCAAACATTTCTTTGGCAAGTTTGCATTTTGAAATTGCTTCTTCCGCAGTTTCGGCTTGAAGCATAATGTTGTCGACGTACAGATTTTTTGCAATTTCTTTTGATAAATCTGTGTCTTTTGCATCGAGAAACTTCATAAGCACCATATTTAAAATGCTAGGTGATGCGGTGATACCAAGGCAACCTTTTGAATCTATACTGTATGATGTTGGTTTTTACAGGTGGTTCAGTGGTATTTTTGAGCCATAAAAATCTACATAGATCTTTGTGGGCATCTGGTAATCTGATTTG